GAACGCGTGAGAGAGCAGGGTTTGAGGAAGTTGTTTGAGAAAGAGAAATTTGTAGAAATCTATGACCCTCGTGGAAAGGCTGCCAAGGTGAGGTAACCTTCAGTTAATCTGTGTAGGTGGCAAAAGATTCCGGGGAATGGTTTAATGGTTCTGCCACCCATTGCCAGAGAGGAAAGACCCTGCTTTCGTACATATACCCAGATTTAGTTTTCCTCCACTTGAGGAGCAGGGGTGGAGGGTCGAGGGCAACAACTAGTCGGCGGAGTCAATGTGAGTGGGCAGAATCTCGCGGGCCCTCCCTGTAGCGACCAGTCGCCCGGCGAAGGGGCGGGGTTTCCGGCAGCAGCGGCGCTCGGGCGTTGGGCGACGCTAGGAGGACGGGTTGTCACGTGACACGGAAGTGACTCCGAACAGGAAGAGGACGAAAAAAATAACCGTCCGCGACGCCGAGCCGAACCGGAGCCGCAGCCACCATGAACAGCAAAGGCAAGGACAGGGGACGGCTGAGGCCACAGGGGGAAGTAATACTGGCCCATATCGAGTGAGTGGGCCCCGAGCCCATCATCGCCAAGCGCCAGGGTTGGGGCGGACTGCACTGCGCTCCTCGGCCAGCTGCAGCCTTGGGCTGCGTCAGATCTACGGCTGCTCGTCTCCTCCCGGCCTTTTTCCCCCTTAAACTCTGTGGCGCAGTTTGGAGTTGCGGGCTGGGGGGGGGTGGTGGTGGTGGTGGTGGTTGTGGTGGTCATGATGGGCATCTGCAGGAGCAAATGGGGAGCTAGAGCGGGGATTTGGGTAGGCCAATGGAGAGGTGGAGGGGGCGGGGCGCCGCGCTCCGGAACTACCGCCGGGCCCCCGGGCTTAACAGATGAGGTGCTTGAAGGGTATCTTTTCACCTTCCGTTCGCATCTCCGCGCCCTTCGCTGGTTTGGCCGGCAGCCTTCCCGTTCGTATTATCGTATCGGTGTATCTGTCAGAAAATAGCCCCCAGCTTCTCCAGCTTCCTCAGTCAAAACTTCCCCCCCCAGCCTGCTGGGAACGTGCGCCTTCACCTTCAGCCCTTCACCCTTTTCCCGTTCACTTCAGCATTCACTCTCTCTTTGGAAATCGACCTAGAATAGGAAGCTGTGAAGTGAACAATCATAATCAACCTTAAACCAGCTATGTGGCTACTACACAGGGCAGAGGCAGGATGCATCCTTGAAATATCAGCAAGCTTGAATCCCAGGAACTGGTGCCTAGACCTGTCTTGATTCTGGAGGGAGCTTGCCTCTAGCCAGACTTTCTCCTTACACTAGTAGGAACAGCGCGCTTCCTGCCCAGTCAGAATCCAGCACTTTGGATTCTGAGGATGCAAAGAGAATGCTTACTTTCTTGGCCCCAGGCATCAGTCCCTCTGGTGCAGTCTGTTTGTAAACCCCCTCTTGCTTACTCCCTTTAGGTTAGCTACCCAATATGCCCTGCCCCATTGTGGTAGCTCTGCATGGTAGGCAACATGCATTTTTTTTCTTTGTTTTTTTTTTTTTGTCTTCCAGGTCAATATCCAACGCAGCCAACCTACCCAGTGCAGCCTCCTGGGAATCCAGTGTACCCTCAGACCTTGCATCTTCCTCAGGCTCCACCCTATACTGACGCTCCACCTGCCTACTCTGAGGTGCTTCCAGTTTACTAGACTTGAGCTAGTTAAGAATAGGCTTGGACCACCTTTTCAGTTCTTAGCTAAGTCTGATTCTACATGTTTTGCTCTTCGCAGACGTAAGAGTGCTCACGTGAATAAACTAAAACACTATATACTTCAGCAATTTCTGTTGGATTTGAGAATGCATTATATGATTGCTTATGTTATTTGGCATAGGCTGAGGTAAAGATGAGTTTGCATTCCTTGAGTCTAACATTAGCTATTGCAGGAAGTGAACAGGAAAATATTGAATGGCAGTGGAAAGACAACTTGTATAATTTACAGAGTGTAATCTGCACCAAGAGTGTGGACTCATTGAAGAGATTTGAAATAGGAATGTCATAAAGTAACACTTTTCCTTCTCTTCTGCCTTTTCTAGCTCTATCGTCCGAGCTTTGTGCACCCAGGGGCTGCCACAGTCCCCACCATGTCAGCTGCATTTCCTGGCGCCTCACTGTATCTTCCCATGGCCCAGTCTGTGGCTGTCGGGCCTTTAGGTTCCACAATCCCCATGGCTTATTATCCAGTTGGTCCCATCTATCCACCTGGTTCTACAGTGCTGGTGGAAGGAGGGTATGATGCAGGTGCCAGATTTGGAGCTGGGGCTACTGCTGGCAACATCCCCGTGAGTATGACTTCATCAGAAAAAACGCAGTCCTTCTTGTGTATTTTAAGTCTCCGAAATGACCTTGTATTCATCGTCTCACCATCCCTCGATAATAGTTCCCAGTATTGGTACAACCACTGACATCTGGTAGTCTGGCAAAAAGTGGTTGAGAAGGCAGAACTATGGCAGGTCAGTAGCATCTGGTACATTTGCCAGGGGCTCATAGTCATATTCTGAATTAACCAAATTCCTTTGTTTTTCTATCTCATGAGACTTACTGCTTTAGCCAGATGGTTTCTTGTGAGTTGGTACATATGACACTATTCATTCCATAAGCATTTACTTAATATCTGCCATCAATATCTGGGAACCCTGATCTAAAAAGACGAATGCAAAATCCCTATTAAGTAGCTTTTAGAAAGAGTAATATTACTGGCCAGTTTTGTTTTGGGACACTAGGGAGTTGAGTTATTGTGTCTCCTGCTTAGTTCCCCTGTGCGTGGAGTTTAAAGCCCAGATGGTGGTCCTTGTTAGGGCCAACTACTCAGTAATCATATGCTAGAGATGAGCTGAGAATGGTGCTTTCAGTGGTCTATTTGAAAACTATCCAGGGACCCTGTGGGATAGGGCCACAGACCTAGCACCCCATCCCTGTTTTGGAAATGTGGGTGGGAATGATTTGCTACCCTGAAGATGACTGACTGTAGGTCTTGACTACCCCTATTTATTGGAAGGTATCCGTAGGCTTCGTCTTGGAGCTGGAACCCTTTACATGAGTGATAGTCTGCTTTTTGTGTTTGTATCTTTGGGTTCACAGAGAATATAGACCTGCTTTAGGAGCCCTGGTGGCACAGTGGTTAAAAGCTTGGCTGCTAATCAAAAGGTCGGCAGTTCAAATCCACCAGCCACTCCTTGGAAACCCTGTGGGGCAGTTCTGCTCTGTCCTGTAGGGCTGTTATGGGTCGGAATCAACTCCATGACAAAGGGTTTTAGAACCCAAATTGGTGGCAGAACTACCTCCTTAAAATGCGATTGGTCTGCATATTGCCATCTTCCTAAGAGGCCCTCTGATTAACCTGTGTCCCCTCCCCTGTGCCCACTCAACCTTGTCCTTTCCTTTCAGCCTCCACCCCCTGGTTGCCCTCCCAATGCTGCTCAGCTCGCAGTCATGCAGGGAGCCAACGTCCTCGTAACTCAGCGGAAGGGAAACTTCTTCATGGGTGGCTCAGATGGTGGCTACACCATCTGGTGAGGAGCCAAGGTCACCTCTGTGCCGGGAAAGACATCACATACCTTCAGCACTTCTCACAATGTAACTGCTTTAGTCATATTAACCTGAAGTTGCAGTTTAGACACATGTTGTTGGGGTGTCTTTCTGGTGCCCAAACTTTCAGGCACTTTTCAAACTTAATAAGGACCCATGTAATGGTAGCAGTACCTTCCTAAAGCATTTTGAGGTAGGGGAGGTAGCCATTCATAAAATGAATGTGGGTGAAACAGCCCTAAGGATCTTCCTTTAATTCCTCCGGAGTAATACTGTACCATACTGGTCTTTGCTGTTAGTAATAAAACATCAAATTAGGTTTGGAGGGAACTTTGATCTTCTTAAGAATTAAAGTTGCCAAATTATTCTGATTGGTCTTTAATCTCCTTTAAATCTTTGATTTATATTACTTGTTATAAATGAAACGCATTAGTTGTCTGCCTTTTCTTTCCATCCTTTGCCCCACGTCCCACCCCCAGCCCTAGTCTTCCATTCCTTCCCGCCAGTCTCCATTGAATCAATGGTGCAGGACAGAAAGCCAGTCAGACTAATTTTCTTGTCTCCTTGCACTTCTCCCCATTTGTCATCTTTAAAATAGTCGTTCACAAGGATCCTCTGAAACCCCCTCTGTGCTCCAAGCACAGACCCCATTACTTCTGCTTTTGCATCTCCTCAGGCAAAAATGGAGGGTGCCATGTAGATAATTTTTTTTTTTTTGGGTGCGGGGAGACCCTTCTCATAGGTTGCCTCCGCGTAGAACCTAACCGGAATTTGCTTTGGTGCCAGAAAAACAGTAAGCTCATGTTTGAACAAAGGATATTAATGTAAACTGTACTGTAAACAAGTTTGTTTAAAATATGAGGGGTGAGGAGAAGGATGCATTTCAAAAGCCTGGTGACTTTAGAGCCAAATCAAGGGGAGTTTTCAGATAAAAAAAATCGATTACAATTTATTGTCAGAGTGTCTTACGCAGCCACTCATGGCTCTCAAGAATTCCTCAGCTGGGTTAATGGGGTCACATTGTGAATGCCTCACTACAAAACGACTTTGAGTCCAGTGAAGTCTGATTGGGGTAAAGAATATTTCAGGGATCCTTAATATTTTGATTTTTGTTTTCTGAAATTGGATTTTATCTTATAATTTCAGTTCATCTAAATTTGTGTTCTGTACATGTGATGTTTGACTGTACCATTGACTGTATGGAAGTTCAGCGTTGTATGTCTCTCTCTACACTGTGGTGCACTTAACTTGTGGATTTTTTTATACTAAAAATGTAGAATAAAGACTATTTTGAAGATTTGAATAAAGTGATGAAGTTGCATTACACCTCACTCCAAGGATTCTTTAACTTAGCTTGCTTTTAGATCTCTTCTGTATTGTCTTTTATATCCTGCCTAGAATTCAGATAGGTACTGCTGCTGTTCTGTTTTCTTTAATCAAGCCTTTGAAATAAATGCAGTAGTAGAAGGCTAAGATTTGACCATCTTCATGAGTTCGAGTCTGCATGTTCAACTGTTCTTCACTTTACTTCCGAAGCTCTTTCATTTTCTTAAAAGCCTCTTATGCCAGGGGATTCAGAACCTAAACTTAGAAATACTCTTGTAATCTAGGCTGCCGAGACTGACTCCTGAACTCCTTGGACAACAGAAGCAATACATTAAGACCTCAAAGGAAATTTAGCTTAATTCCAAAGTAAACAATATCTAAGGAGCTAATGCTTTATACCAAAACATCGCACCATTTAAACACACCTCATTTTGAGACTAAGATCCAAGAAGCTTCTCTGGACTTTATTCCGAGGACACTGATGGGAAAAGGTGGTAGATTTTTCCTGGCTCCTTCAGTCTATACATAGAATAGGTCTAGGAAATCCTGGTTCTAAGCTAACTCATCTCCCAAGGTATGTTTCCCGGAACCATCTTTGTCCCAAATCCCTGAGATAGTTCTGGGAACTTCTGAAACTTCTCTAGGGTTCTTTACTGCTGCAGAGGGTATATCCTCAAAGGAGTTAAATAAGCAAAAGAAAATTATGTCAAAAGAGTTGCAGCAACATAAGTTGAAATGTAAAGGAAGTTATTTCATGTATATGATAATCTGATTTCTATATTAAAAAGTTTAATTCTGATAAAAATAGTACAAGTTACGAGGTTGTTGGGGAATATGGGAAGGGCTCAGATTAGAGTATGTAGCACGTTCATCAGGAGGTAAGGTCTCCATGGTCTCCTACCCCAGCTGACCTGGTCTTTCACCGTGGTATCCAGCCTCTGGGAAGAACTATGCACAGTATCTCTGCTGGGGCTATCACTAGGTGACTGTGTAGGGAACAAACTGGAGCAGCCAGCAACCCTGTCTTCTCCCTCCCTTCAACGTGTGAACAAAGTGAAGACTGGGCACATACTCAGATGTTTCCTAGTATAGCCCCACCTGTTGGCCAGTCATAAATACCAGCTGTATTATGAAATCCGGGCTGAAGACATCTTAAAGTTGCTTTCTCCACATCCCTGGTGTCAGTGATGTTGATGTTTGGGCCTATGTCCTGGAGGGAGCTCAGATTTGCCCATATCCATCAATGCTGCTCTGGCTTCAGATGAAACTTCCATCTAATAAACAGTCCATGGTTGGTGCTGGAGCCTGGTGTAAGCTTGGGGCCCAGAAGTCATTAGATGAAATATTCCTCCTTCTCCTTACCCTTGGCTGAGTCACTCTCCATCTGGAGGATGGTGCTGGGCTCGCCTTCTGCAGGTTCATAGGTGACGTAGGTGCCTTTGTTCTTGTACAGGTAAAAGAAGATGAAGATCACGACTGAGAGCAGTGTGAGGAAGACCACAGTGATGACAACTTGGGAAGGAGAGGGGAAATGTAGAGTTTTCAGGATTAAGGATGTCTCAGGAATTCATTGGGTCACCCAAATTATACGATTTCCTCACTTTTTTCATAAGGATCCTCCTGTTCTAATTAACTAGTGTCCACTTCCAAATCCGTGTTCCCCCACCAAGCCCAACTTCCATGGAACATGATATCTGGAGTCTCTTGGTGTCTAAGGACAAAGCTTTTGACTTCTGACAAAACTGAACTCGCTCCCAACCAGTTCCTGATAATTATCATAGATACAGGAAGGAGGGAAATAGGAAATAACTTATCCCAACAGGAAGAGTTTTTTTAAATCCACATTCTCCTGTATGGGTTTCTCTGATCCCTCCCATCCTCTTCCTCACCCACTCAACAAACCACAAATATACTCATCCCTACCATGTACTCTTGAGTGTAGTGCCCATATGTACCTGTATCTATTTGTAGCCACCTCCCAACCTATCATTTACCGGCAGTGCCTCTGACAGAAGGCTCTAAGAGTCTTTTTATAACGGTGTGTGTGTAAGATAACCCACATGCCAAAACGAGCCCACTAATGGATTTGGTCCCTGATGTGGTGGTGCTGTTCGCGTATGGAGAAAGTCCTAGCTCATTGCACTGGGTTTCAGGCTGTCTCTGGAGTGAGATGGCCCCTGATCCCTAAAGGTCCCTTGGATTTGGCTCAGAACCTTTGTTACCTGCAATGAGTGCTGTGCTGGCTTCAGCTTCTGGGGACAGGGCCTCAGTGGCCTGGAGCATTGGGGTGGTCATCAGTTCCTCCCCTGGCAAAGCTAGAAAAGTGGAAAAGGAAGATGGGGTCAATTTATTTTTTTGTTCTAATGCTGATGGTTGTCCTTCAGATTTCACCACCTCACTTTCTTCCCTGTTCAAAAGTTTACCATTGTACTCCTTACAGTAAATCCATATAGAAAAACCTGGAGAATAGAGGAGAAAATAACTAGCACCAATAGGCAATTAACATTCAATGCATTTCTATGTCTAATAGTGGTTAAAAGTATGGGCTATGTGACCTTGGAAAATTACCTAACGCCTGTACTCATCAGTTTCCTCATTTGCAAAATGGAGATAATAGAACTTACTTCATAGGGTTGTTGTGACATCTAAGTAACTCAATAAGTTAGCTACTACTAGGAATGCGTTTTTTTTTTTTTTTTATTGTACTTCAGGTGAAGGTTTACAGAACAAATAGTTTCTCATGAAACAGTAGTACACATATTGTTTTATGATATTGGT